TCTGCATCTCATCATGATTCCACCCAATTACCCAGAAGACCAGGAACTGCTGGCCTCAGATACCATGGTGAGCATGTCTCTCACAAGTTCCAGAACCTGCACTAGCTCCCTACTGAGCTGAATCCTTTTTGTATATTAAAAAAGTTCTGTGAGCCAGGTGCTGGTGGCTCAGGCCTGTAATCCTAGCTACTCAGCAGGCAGAGATCAGGAGGATCAAGGTTCAAAGCCAATCTGGGCAGATAGTTGCAGAACCCTACCTTGAAAATACCCACCACAAAAAAGACCTGATGGAGTGGCTCAGGTGGCACAGCTTGTGCCTAGCAAGCATGAGTCCCTTAGTTCAAACCCCAGTAGCACCAAAAAAAAAAAAGAAAGAAAAACCCTCTGTGTACAAGATCTCAATATATTTTTGATGACTGACTAAATGAAATTCAAACTTTGCCATATTTCGAAGTCTGTCAGCTCATCTGCTCACAATTCTGAATTTTCTGCAATCTCCACTAAGACCACATTTGGTCATCCACCCTCATTTCCTAGCCAACACACCCACTATGGTTTCAATGAATCCTGACTCATGTTAATGGATTTGGAGATGGGGCCTGGGTAAAGTAATTAGGATTAGATGAGGTCATGAGGGTAGGGTCTTCATGATGGCTTTAGTGGCTTTAGGAGAGGAAGACACCCCGGCCTCCTTTGTCTTGCCTGTGATGCCCCTCACCATATTATGATACAGCACAAGGCCTTCTTCACCTGACGCTGACCAGACGCAAGTGCCATGTTCTTAAACTTTCCAGCCTCCAGAACCATGTGCCAAATAAACTTCTATTCTTTATAAATTACCTAGTCTCTGGTATTTTATTAATAGCAACAGAAAACAGACTTTGACAGTCATCCATTCCCATCTTTAAGCCAACACATCCAATAGCTATTTGGCCATCCTTCAAAGCTCAGCTCCACAGGAATCTTAGTGGTTGTCTAGGGCTGATGGGATAAAGGGGGTGGGGGAGACCTTGAGAGTGCTAGTTAAAGGGCATGGGTTCTTTTGTGAAGTGGCAAAAATGTTTTAAAATTAGCTATGATGATGATTGTATATATCCATGAATATACTAAAAACCATTGGATAAATACTTTTGACTCCATCCTGGAAACTGAACTCAGGGTCTTGTGTATGCTAGGTAGGTATTCCACAACTGAGCTACACTCCCAGCCCCAAATTAAACACTTTCTCTTTAAGTGGGAGAATTTATTGCGATAGAAAAGTGTAAAGTAGGAGAATTGAGCTCCCAGAGTTGGGGGGGTTCCAAAAGAATGTGTGTCCCCCCCAATTAAACACTTTAAATAGGCAAATTGTATAGTATGTAAATTACATCTCAATAAAGCTGTTTTTAAAAACTCATCTCCTTCAGGAAACTTTCCCAGACTTATGAATGAGAATTTCACTTCAAACAGTAAAAAAGAGGGACTTATTCACTCTCTCATTATTGATTATTCATCAGTGAACATCTGTGTTTTACCATGACAGGTCAAATAGAGTGCCAGACACTCAAAACACAGGGATGGACAAGAAGATAGTGATGATGATTTGGGGTTGTTTTTTTTTTTGTTTATTTGTTTGTTTGTTTTTGTTTGAGACAGGGTCTCACTATGTAAACAAGGATGGTCTCAAATTTTCTATAGTCCATTTCCACCTCCCAGGTGCTGAGATTACTGGAGTACATCACCACACCCATCAAGATAAACAAGGTAAGATTTGAGGTATGCTAGTGCTCTTGGTCCTTGTGTCCCCAACCAAACTAACTCTACCATATCCTCTACTTCTCTCTTCACAGAGTGTAAGGAGAAGAAAGGGATCTCTTGATCTTCTTTGTATTTTCAACTTTGTGTAGTTAAAATCCATAAGCCACGGCCGTCTTAGTCCCTTACCTACCTCATCAGACTGAATTCCATCTCAAACCTGAAAAGTGTTTTTCTCTGCTGTGGAGAGGTAGGGAATGTGACTAGGGAAAGATGCCACGGTATGTTAATCCTCCTTAATCCAAGTGAGAGCGAAGCCATTTTCTAACCATCATTTCCAAGTCCCACAATGTGGGAGGAGACCCAGGTGCTTCTCTGGGACACGTGAGTCCCTAACCTCATACTCTCAAGCCCACATCCACCCTATGTGGGAGACTCACAGAACAAGGATAACAAGCCCGCACTCTGGAACAGCAAGAGGAAGCTTACAGAACGTTTTCATAGGTATTAATCTTATCTGTTCTACTCTTGTGACTTCCCATGAGCCCACAGTAAACTGAGGTGTCCACTGTTCCTTAGTGAACCAATGGCAGAACTTAAGTGTAAACCTCAGTCTCCCAACTTTAAGCCCAATGTGTCTGCCCTCTATTGCCTCTCCTTCCCTAGCAATCTTGGCGGGAACCTATAGGTACCTGTTCACTTGACTGCTTCCTTTCTTTCCAAGAAGACTCCCTTCTACAAGGTCTAGAATGATGGGATTTTGGTTTAGACACAATCCAGACAGCTTCCAACAGACGTGACACAGAGCAGCTGTTAAGAGTAGAGATTTGAGTCAGGCAAATTTGGGGTTGAATGCAGTCTGCTCTTCTCTACATATACTCTTGGCCCTTCATATTTTTGAGTTCTACATTCAGAAGAAAATTACACCTGTACTGTAATTTTTCTTATGATTACAGTTGTACTGTATTGTTGAGGGAATAAACAGTTGCATTTACACTGCATTGGGTGTTCTAAGTAATCTAGGAAAGATTTAAAGTATACAGGCAGGGACTTTAAGTGTGGCTCAAGTGGTAGAAGGGCTACCTAGCAAGTAGAAGGCCCTGAGTTCAAATCCCAGGACCACCAAAAAAATAAAATAAAGTATACAAGAGGATGTGCACAGGTGATATGCCAATACTATGCCATTTCATACAAGGGATTTGGTACGTGCAAGAAGTTCTGGAACCAACCCCCCGTGTATACCAAAGGATGCCAAGATACATATAATTCTTTTAATCCAACAGTGGCCATTTAAAAGAACTGCCTTAAATTACACCTTCGAGATGAAAGTCCTTCTTATTTCAGGTTAGTCTCTACACCAACGAAACGAAGCATTCTACACACTTAAATAACTCTCAAAAACAGGCACACCTTCCATACTTCTACACATTTACCCCCCTTCCCACCCTAGCCAGTAATACAAGACTGTTTCCTCCATATTCTGTCCTCAGCATAGTTGGCAGAATCTCAGGGTCTCCAGGTCTCTTTTATGGTCTCACATTTGTGAGGAAAGCTGTCAAGACATCACAAACTATTTTAGCTCAAGATTAACCCATAATGGGACCAAGTGTGTCCCACTTCCCTCCACTCTGTGGGAAAGGCAGTAGGATGAAGTACCAGAACAGAAAGAACCGTTACCCCCAAGGCCCACATGAAGTCCCAGAACAAAGCTCTACTTCTGCATTAGCCAGGAGAACCACATCCAGTCATGGCACCCAGAAGAGAGATACGTTGGAAGACTCAGAGTGCACATCTTCTGCAACCCTCTTCCTCAGCGTTCCCCTCAAAGATTCCTGACTCACTGGTTTCTCTTTGCCTGTGCCCATATTGTACCTCTGATCTCAAATTTTTCCTGCTGTTTTCTACCTGTCTGCATTTGTCATGGTTTGAGCCTCTTCCTCCCATAAGTCTTCCCCTAGTTCTCCAGGGTTCACTTTTCTTGTATATATCACCCAGTGGCTCTATCTTCTTAGTATGAGTGAACCTCACATGTCTTTTTTGTTTTGGGGGTTTTGTTTTGTTTTTTGCAGTGTTGGGGATTGAACCCAGGGCCTTATATATGGTAGGCAGTTCTACCACAGAGCTACTGAGCTACAATCCCTAGCCCTTTCTAATTTCTTAGACAAATGTTCTCCCTTTCTCCTACTTAACTTTCACATCCTCTCACTCTACCCACGCACCCTCCTCAACATCACTTCCATTATGGTACCAGACGTGAGCTCACAAGAACACTCAGTAAATACTCCTGAATGAAAATGAATGGCAGTGAACAGATGAGGCCAAAGGGATCCCAGGGAAAGTGGTCCATGACTCACTTACTCCACAGAAAAGCACAAATCTCTGTTACAAGTCAGGGCCCACAGTCTAAACCAAAATGGGTAGGTACATGTTATCAAAGAACCCGGGAGGACTTGGTACCCCTGACAGGCAAGGAGCTGGACTCGAACACAGGCTCCTTGAAACAATATTCCCCACCAAGACTGGGTGGAGCTGCCCTACGGGTTTCACACCAAGTCTCCCAATGTGGAAAGCACACTCTCTCTACTTAGATGCCACATTTACCAACAAAAAAGTATCTGGCACAAACCACAGTGGTATGGAAATGTAACTCTGATCGGGTAGCAAGTAAGACTCACTCAATGCGAACAGGCAAACGAAATAATGAAAACCTCAAAGGAGTCCAGAAATAGAAGTGGAGGACTGAGGAGTGGCTCAAGCGGTAAGGCGCCTGCCTAGCAAGTACAAGTCCCTGAGTTCAAACCCAGGCCTCGCCATATAATCTTTCTCTCTAGCCTTCTGCCATCTCCATCTGCACATGGGAATCATAGTGGTATCTATCTCAGAGAATTTGTGCGAGGGTGAAACTTGGAGGTACTTGGTGAAGCGCTCCACACAGTGGCCTGCACATAGTAAGCGCTTAACAAATCCGAGCTGCTACGATTTGTATTACTCGTTTTTGCTGAAAGAAATCAAAGCAGATGGAATGCACCATGAAGCCCCATGGTCAAAGTGTCACATAACATAACGCCCCTAGTCCCGAGGTGGAGAGAGGGTGAAGAGCGTGGGTGCTAAAGTCCTCTAGCCCTGGTCCCCTGAGCTGTGCCCGAAGCGACTCTGGTGACGTATGAGGCTCCCCGCTTTCGTCCCGGAAGTTTCCACCAGGATGCCCTGGGGCCCCTGGGCCGCTCTGGGGACGGGCTGGAGGCCAGGGCAGAACAGGGACGTACCTGCTTTCACTGCACTCCTTCCGCTCCCTCACCCTCAGCCACTTGCGGAGAAGGAAGCGCTTGCGGCGCGGGGAAGCGCTGGGTGTGGAGCAGTTGGACCACGGGGTGTCCTCGTCGCTGGAGGGCGTGATCTCGATGGACGGCAGCTGCAGGAACTCCTTGCCTGGGGCCAGGACGCCGGGCAGGTCCGGGGCCAGGCCGGCCTCCAGGCTCTGCTCCTGCACGTTCTTCATCCGACGCATCTTCAAGCGCCGGCGGCGGAGCGTGGGGGTCGACGAGCTGGACCAGACCGAGCTGCCCTCCGGCGCGCCCTGCGGCTCGGGCACCTGCACGGCGGGCAGCTGCAGGTTCTCCATCATGTTGGCCGCCGGCATCGGGGTCCGTGGCCGCCGCGCCTCCTCCGCGCCCTGGGCCAGCAGCCTCGCTCGCGGATCCCCACCCCCGGCCCGCGGGCACTGTCCCCTCTCAGGTTAGGAAGGGCTGGCGGCTCAAGCGACCAGAAGAGCCAAGTTCCTTTTCCCGGAACGCCGAGAGGAAGAGACTGGAGGGGAAGCGGCGCGCCACCGCCAGCCGACTAACTTTTCGGAGCGCGCGTCCTCCTGGCCGTCCGCCGATGGCGAGGGGACCCGGGCGTCAGCCACCCGGCCGCCCTTCTGGGGCTCCCCTCGCGCACCCGCTTGTTTGTCTTCCGCCGCGCTCGCTCTCTCGCTCGCTCTCTCGCTCGCTTGCGTCTTTGCCTTAGCGGGACTCGGCAGCCCCAGGCCCCAGGGGGCGGCGCAGCTAACTCTCAGCGGTTTGCGTTCAGCAGACCAGGTTGGGGAGCCGGCTGGGCGCTGCAGGGAAGCAGAGGGCAGGAGGAAGAGGCGGTGATGAGAGGGAGAGGGGAAAAGAAAGAGAGAGAGAGAGGAAGCGAGATACTGGATAAAAACAAAAAGAGAGGAGGAGGAGCAGGGGGCTGCCGAGGGGGTGGGCTGCTCTCCTGAAAGGGCTTGCACAGGCGGCGACAGCAGTGTAACTGTACTCGGGATCCCGTGGGGAGGGACTCTACCTCCAGTGAAGGCTGCTCCAATCAGCCTAATGAAATAGGAGCACAAACCAAACTTTCTCAGGGCTGCGATTGGCCAGGCAGCTCTCCTTAGCGAACTCCCTGTTTTTCCCTGGGGGAGGGGAATCGAGAGATTCAGTTCTCACTCTCTCAGGCCACCCAAGGTACAGGGTTGAGGAAAAGCTAGGGGATTTGTTAGCGGAATCTCTTCTCCTAAGAAAGGTGCCTTTGAGTTATTTGGAGTGCAAATGGGAGAACGGGAAGACTGGACATAGTGGGAGAAAGCAAGATTCCTGGAGGCTGCTTCCAAAATGACAAGCTGAGAGGAGAGGACAGTTCTGTGGCATGAGCTGACACCAGACATGACATACCAAAGAAAGACAGACAATAGGATGGAGAGACACAGGACACCAGTAAGGAAAAGACACTGACCCCTGTACATGGTGAGTGACCCTGCCAAAACCATAGCCCCATCCCAAGAAAAGAACCAAAGGAGAGGAGGGTGATCAAAGCAAAGCAATGCACCCCATGGACCCCTGGGGCATCAAGTGCACCCCCTTTCTATTCCTGGGACTAGTTCAGTGCTGCTTCAGTCTGCCCGGGGCATAGCTGGATCATAAAGCCTAGCACATCCCAAGTCAAGGAGCCTAGAAAATATGGTCATTCTTGGTAGTGTTTCAAGACATGCTGACCCACTCCCTCCCTAGACCAAGGGTGTACCCTAAGAGATGGGCCCCAGAAGGGATCCGCCCTGGGGAGGCACTCTCTGCTAGACTGAGTCCAAGCAGCCCAGCTTCTGGAACACAAACTGTGTTACACATTGCCCTTGCTTCACAGCAGGGCATTTGCCTCTCAGTACAGACCAGTAGGAACACCAACGACTACACTACCAAGTCCACAATCTGACCCACTCTCTTCTCTCCCCTCTCTGTGAGTCCAGGTTCCTCCTGGGATGCCCAGCTTCTGTGCTAGGACAAGGGCCACATTTCACAGATGTCCCAAAGCTGAGGAAAAATCATGTTCCTACAGGCCACAAGAATTCACTACAAAAACTATACATTCACGCATGTCAATGATGTCAGTAAGACATCAAGGGTGACAGCTGGCTAACGGGTCCATCATGCCCTGCAATGACACATGGGGGAGCTCAAGACATCCTGACATTACACAGCCTCTCAGAGACTGTGAAAAAGAATGAAGTACATCTCGTTCATGGGAAGACAGGCTGAAAAGCCAAGACCAGGCCTACCTATAAACAACTCCCCAGAACCTGGGTCCTTTTCCTGACTCCTCACATCCGGCCACTGGCTCTCTTAGGGATAATTTGGTGTCACTCGACTTTAGCTCCCGGATGTGGTATGGAAAGGAGAAACTCCTTTCCATGAGGTGTCAGGCCTGGCAAGGAGCAAGACAGCTGGCTCTTCCTGCTCCGGGGTTCTGGAGACTGGCCTGGGACTCCAAACTTCAGTCTGGAGAGCTAAGCCAAGGATCCACACAGTTTGTTCACTGCCTTGGATCTCCCCCAAGAAGGATCACTTTGACAACTTCCCTGTTCAAGGCATCTGCCTGTTGAAGGGGTTGTTGTAGGAGAGTAGGATCTCAGGTGTTTGGTGGAAGAAAAAAAGACAAGACACTGCCATTCATTTGGAGGCCAAAAAATAGAGAATCCGCAAGACAGGAGCCAGAAACTCAAGGGATATTTGGAGAAAGGGAGGATCAACCAAGAGTGCAGCCATGTTTACATTCGCTAAGAGGACTGTGAATGTAAATGCCTGTCTCTAAAAGGAAGAAGAGTCACCTGCTCTCTCTTCCCACACACTTCAGTCAGGTGTCCCACTCACAAGAGATTGAGGACCTAAAAAATCCTCTGGGATTTAATTTAAGTCTTGGGCACAGCAGCAGTTGAGAAGGCTCATTTACATTTCACCTGGCCTGAGGGTGAAATGGTTTGGAGGGGAAAACTCCAAACCAAATCTGAAATGGCCTCACTTGATTGGGAAGAAGATACCCAGAGTTCCTCTCTCCCTAATACTGTCCTCACTCACTTCTACTTGCAGCTCTTTCTTTACTGCACTCTCTAATCAAGACACACCCCCGACCTCTCCAACTGCTGTTTACTATGGTTCTATGGAGTAAGGGAATAATGGGGCACTGCTAGCAATCATCACTTTAAAACTAGAAGCTTGTTGAAAAAGAAATATATTTCTCCTTTTGAATCTTTCCAGTATCCTGTGCTTTTCTTCTTCTTCTTTTTTTTTTGTTTTTTGTTTTTTTTGTTTTGCAGTACTGGAGCTTGAACTCAGGGCCTTCACCTTCAGCCACCCCACCAGCCCTATTTTTGTGAAGGGTTTTTCGAGGTAGGGTCCTGCAGAACTATTTGCCTGGGCTGGCTTTGAACCGAAATCCTCCTGATCTCTGCCTCCTGAGTAGCTAGGATTACAGGAGTGAGCCACCAGCGCTTGGCTGCAGTGCTTTTTTATGTGACCATATACCTTGTTTTTACAAGGCTTTTACAAGGCTTTTATACATACTACAGCTTCTAGTGGCCCCAGGACTGAGGTAGAACCTAAGTTATTATCCTCATCTTGCTGTTGATGACAGTGGGACCAACAGATTCAGGAACTTATCCAAGGTCACCCATAAAAAACAGTGACTAATTTCACAAGGTCAGAACTTGAAACCAGCCCTTCTGAAGCTAGTGTAGAACCTAGCAAAATCGTATCAAATGCATCGACTCTAGAAAAAAGCAGGTCCTTTGTAGCACCAAAATTTTCCTAGCCCTGGCTCCGGTTGGGTACACCATGAAATTGCATGTAGTGGTTCAGTTCCAACAGTTGATTTACAGGCAGGGAAAAGGAAGCAAAATATTTGCAAAAGCAATTTCCCAAAGCAGCAGATACAGAAAACAAGGCCAAAAGTGTCCCTGACCCCCTTTCAGATCCTTAGTCATTGCACTGGTTCCCCAAGTATCCCCTGTCCCCATATTTCCTCCCTCCCCTATTTGGCTCATAGTGACTCCTTGATTCTCTGGGAACTGACCTCACCTTGGGGCCTCAGACAGGTGGTCGCCAGAAAAACTCAACTCCCCTATCCTCCACTCGACAGCCAGGCCTCTGACTTTAAATGAAAGGAGCTCATATTACCAAGCAACTGTTGTTTATTCTCGGCTGCACAGGCTCCCTTTTCCTACTGACACAAGACACCCAACACCTGTCTATTACTTCTAGAGACCCATAAATGACAAAGTCCATTATTTAGTCAAAATTTCCAGCACAGAACTTCAACTAAAACTAGGAGCTTTGAGGCTAGATTTCTCCTGGGTGTATACCCAAGTGAATGAGAGGTAGAAGGTGCAGGCACCACCAACCCACCATTTCACCTGCCCCAGAACAACAAAAGCAAGCACATCCAGAGAACACAGGAGTGTCCCCTCAACACTGTTGCTGCAAGACATAGAGTCCCCACCTCAAGGCTGGGACATAGAGGCTCTCTCCTGCACAACATTCACAATGGCCAACCCCAGGGATGAGTCCATGTTCAAGGGAGAGAAGCAGGCACTGGGCATACGTGAAGTGGATCTCAGGGAAGCTGGTAATATGGACAGAAATATGGACGATGCTGTGAGAGCAAAGGCCAGCTATTTCTCCATAGCTGCCTTTCTGTTATTGAAGTGAGGTTGTAGGGAGCACAGTGTGGGGGATTTAGGTTCCATGATAAACATTTACCAAGGGCAGGGCCAGTTAAGGACTGGAATGCATGACCAAGCCTGGTTTTAGAGTGGCTTTCTCTATAGAACTTTAAAGGTAATAATGGCCTAGTTAGAGGCAATGGAAGGAACGAGATTATCTCTTAAAGGCCCATCTCCAGTCTACCATTGTGGGTTTCTAAGCCCTGGATTCTCTCTAAAATAAAAGCAATTCATTTATGCCCCAAACAAAGTCAGTCTGAAATGGTCATTCCTGGCTTCAGACATTTTGATCACCTGGTGCTAAGCACCTCCTTAAGACTGAGGAATGCAGCTGAATACCAATGGTATTGGATGATCAGCCAAGGGTGGATGGGGTGACTTCAGGAAGGCTTTTCCAACCCTGGTTTGGACAAACCAATATTAAAGACAAACAGCTTTAACACTTTGCACAGGGAACTAGAAATACAGTATCAATCACCAGGGTGGCAACGAGGTAGGGAACCAGAGGTGGAAGGTATGAAGACAGAACAAATAGAACGACTTGAACCCCGCCATGGTAGTATCTCTTATTCCTTTCTGAATTCTGCCTTCATTTCCCCGGGAAGGAGCTAACTGCTTAATAAGAGGAAATTACACTGAATTTGTAATAGCAAGAGGAGAGTAATATTGTCTAATCACAATTTAAATAAACCACAGTTGACCAGCCACCATGTCCAGCTTCTCCTTTTCAGAAAAAAGGAGAAAATGCTTCAAGACCTTGTTGGAGACTTAGTTCCCAAGAACAAAGCCTGGGGTATGCTCTCAGCCTTGGAGAATGTACAAGGTCGGCAGAAGCTTACTTCCGCTAGCCTTCAGAGGAGCCAGGGTGAGCACTGACGTCACCTCTGGAGAAGGACTGCCACCAGATAAGCCCTCCTGGTTTCATAGCTCTTCAAAAGGCTTAGGAGTCAGAGGATGTTTTGCACAACAGTATTTGGCTGCCCTTGTTCTTGACATCGGAATACCATGGCACAGACAAACATCATCTCT